GGAGGGAGCCAGTCTCAGAGCCCACCTGGCCCCTTCTCACCGCACCCCTGCCCTCAGCCTGCCACCAGGCCTGCGAGCTCCTTTTCTATGCAAGGGGGTGAGCAGAGCTGGGGCGGAGCGGGTGTCCAGGAGCACAGGGCGGTGGCCTGGGTGTTTGTGTTGTGTGCGTCTGTGTGTGTGCACACGCGTGTGCCTTGAAGGACGCTCTTTCTCCAGGCTCCTGCTCAGCGCGAGGCATTGTGCCAAGAAGTGTTGGGGCCGCTGGTTAGGAGCGGGGACTCTGAAGTCAGACCACCTGTTTAGAGGCCTGAAGGCACCACTCAGCAGCCATATGACCGACCATGGGTGACATACACAGCCTCTGGGCCTCTGGGCCTCTGGGCCTCTGGGCCTCCGTTGTGAGGCCTAAACAGGCGAACCCATGTGCAGTGTCTAAAGTAATCCCTGGCTCTGGGCATTAGCCTTCACCTAATGGGAGCTATTAGCTGTGATCTCAAGCAAACTATTTAACTTCTCAGTGCCTCAGTTTCCTCATCTGTGAAATGGGACTCATAACAGTACTCCCCTCCCAGGAATGTTACAAGGACTGAATCAACTAACTTACAGAAAATGCTTAGATTCTGAGAATAACAAAGGGCTCAGTATTATGGTCTAACACGTCTCTTGTTACAGCTATGAACGTGAGTGCCAGTTGTGATCTGTTACTGTGGACTCCCCTCACCTGCTCTACTATAAGGTCTGGGCCCTGCAGCCAGATCTGGTGCCTGGGTTTGAACCCACCTCGACTGTTTCTTAGAGGGAATGATAATCGTTACTGCTTAGAGAATTAAATGAGAGCAGAAATACAAAACCCTTTTTGAACAATGCCTGGCAGAGAGTACATTTCAGCAAATGTTCCAGCTGCTGTCCCAGTTGACAGATGAGAAAACTGAGACTTGGTTAGGGAAAGCTAGTGGCAGAGCCAGAGCCAGGTCTGGGATCCTGGCAGGTGTCTTCATTCTGAAGCCAAGGACACAGAGGGCTGCTTCCACTGTTGTTCTGAGAGAAGCTGCTGGTGCCATCCAGGTGCCCTAATTAATAACTTCCCATCCTGCTTCCCAGCTTCATCCCAACACACCTCCCAGTCCTCTTCCCACCCTTATCGTGACATACTCTTCTGCATCTCTTTGCATTAGCACATGCTGTTCCCCATGCCTGGAATGCCATTCCCTCTCCTCTGCCTGACGTGTTTTCCTGGCAGCACGAGTCATCCCTCTGGGCTCCTCTCGCACTTACCCAAGCTGAGTCAGCAGTTTAAACCCTGTCTTGTTCCCAAAAGTCTTCAAGAGGAAAACACTGTTTATTTCTGTGCTGGTCCCCCTGCGCCCGTCAAGATCCTCTGTCTGTCTTCCACCCTGCTCCGTGGGGAGGCTGACCACCCAGACCGCGTCCTTCTGGGTTCAGCCTGAGGCGCCACGGGGAGACTGGAGGGCAGGGGGAGGGCGAGAGGTCCCCTGGCGTCCTGTGTCCCTCCAGGGAGCACGTCTCCTGACCCTGAGACGCCTGGTTCTTCCCCGCGGACGGTGGGCTCCCGAGGGAGGGCCATGTCTGTGCACAGGGCAGCGCAGAGCACACGCTCGGGAAATGTCCTCGACTCGGACTGCCCCAGAGGACCAAGATGGCCATGCACGTGGGACTCGGCGGACGGAGTGGCGTCGAGCTGGGGCATCTGTCCACGAGCTCGTCCCCTTGCGCGATCCCAGACACTTGCTGCAGGGCACGTGGGCCGGGCTCTGGCGAGGCTGGGGCTAGGGGAGCCCGCATCGTGGTGATGGGGACTGGGTGCAAACAGGCGAAGCGCACTCACACCTCACACCATACATCCTATGAAGGCAGGCAAAGGGGTACAAAGTGACAGGGGTGGGGTGCAATCTGGGGGCCACTGGGCAGAGAGGGCTGTGAAGGAGCCAGGCCAGCGATGCTCTGGGGACATTCTACACAGAGGGACCGGGACACAGGAAGGCTGGCGGTGGGAACACCTTGGTCTCTTGAAGAACAGCAGGGAAGCTGGGCATCCGGGGAGACCCTCCCAACTCTGACATTCGAGGGCTCCTAGGAGAAGGGGCCCTCGGCTGGCCATGGACTGCCAGTGAGCCCCATCCTTAGTTGTGCAGGTGGAAGCCCCGTGTGGACACTCTCTCCCTATGTTCTCGAAGTCCTCACGATGACCTCGTGGGGAGGATCTTGGTGTCCCTGTTTCATACATGAGGAAACCGAGTCTGAGAGAGGTGAAGCAAATTGCCTGAGGTCACAGGGTCAGGGAAAGAATGGAAATGAACCCAGGTCTGCCCGACCCATAGGCAAGAAGGCATTTTCCCAGGGCCAGCACATCCCTTTGCTGAGGAGCTCCTCTTCGGTAACCTTGGCCCTGCAGGGACAGGCTGGTAAGAGGACCCAAAGCTCCTGGCTGGGGGGAGGCAGTCCCAAGGCCACATAGCCAATGGGGAGGGCGTGGGGGTTCCAGCCCCCACTCTCTGCAAAGGGGACACTGGTAGGTGAACAGAAAAGCCCTGCCATGTCCGCCATGCCCAGACACTCTTCCAGGGCCGGGCGGGTTGGCTAATGGGTATCATTTCAGCCCTTTCATTTCTAATAGACACTGTACTGTCATAAAGACTGTCATTTCCCACGGCTCAGGCAGGATAATCAACACGCTGGCTGCCCAGAGGACTGAGTGGCAGGATCTGGACACGGCCGTGAAGATAAGCCCCTCCTCTCCCTGTCGGCCATTCCAGTCCTTTCCCAACCAGACTAAGCCCTTGGGTTTAAGAGCAGGGCCTGGGGTCCCAAGAGGCCCCTGCTCGCTGCACAATCCCCCGCTCAGGGAAGAACTGCCTCCTCTCAGCCTAGCTCTAGCATTTCATTGCCTTGTGTCCTTGGGTAAGGTGTTTTCCCTCCCCAAACCTCAGTTTCCTCATCTGTAAAATGGGACAATTCTTTCTGCCTCACCAGGCAGCTTACGTGAGCTGATCTACAACTTGACTTGCATAGCTGGTGTTTATGGGCAGTCGGCATGACAGTGGCGGTGCCAGAGGGGATAATGATGCTTGTCACATGTTAAAAACAGAAACTGAGCCCAGAGGGGCGCCTGGGTGGCTCAGTCATTAAGCGTCTGCCTTCGGCTCAGGTCATGGTCCCAGGGTCCTGGGATCGAGTCCCGCATCAGGCTCCCTGCTCAATGGGAAGCCTGCTTCTCCCTCTCCCACTCCTCCTGCTTGTGTTCCCTCTCTCGCTCTCTGTCAAATAAATAAATAAAATCTTAAAAAAAAAAAAAAAGAAAAGAAAGAAGGAAAATGAGGCCAGAGAAGGGAGTGGTCTCCCTAAGGTCACACAGCAAGTTAGCTGGGCTGAGAACTTGGGTTTCTAGGCCAGAACTTTTGCATGAACTCCTCAGTGGTCAATGGTAGTCACTGAGGTATGTTGAATCCTTCTCAGGAGCCGGGCACTGTCATGCAGGATCTCATGCAGTCCCCCCACAGAACTGACGAGGCAGGTGTTATTACCATCACCCCCGATTTGCAGGCAGGAAGGTAGACCCCGTGGGATGCCCTCAAAGAGGATCTGGTACGTGACAAGTCCTGTCCAGAGAAACTGAGACCCAGGTGGTTGGTAGGCTAGCAAAGTTAGCTCAGTGGCTGGAGGAGTCTGAGAGGAAGAAGGTAGCTGGGAGAAAAAGAGGAAGGGGCCTCTGCTCCAAACAGGCCAGGGTGTCAGTCATGATCCCCTTACTGGCACATCACCCTGCCAGACTTCCCTAGTCAGTCGTGTTGCTACGTTCTCACAGCACGCTACAAACAGTGGTCCCATTTTGCAGATGGAGATATCGAGGCTCATACAATCAAAGTGACTTGCCCAGGTTCACACAATTAATAAGAAGAACTTGGACTTGAGCTCAGTTCTCTTAATGTCCAGGTAACTCTTTTTCCCTTGCTTAATTCATTTTTTACTTTGTTGGCGTTTTTCTCTCTTGTCTTCTCTGCAAGTTACCAACTGTCTGCCATCCCCTAACACTGCTACACCGGACGGAAGCAAGCATCCTGAAGGTAGGAATCTCATTTGACTTCACTGCTGTGTGCTTGGAGCCTGTCACAACAGTGGGGACAAAGCTGGAAACAAGTGGCTGTTGGTTGGGTGGTTGAAGGAACTGTAATCGGGCTACCATTTGTTTAAGTGATACAGTGGTCGGCATGGTCCATGTGGAGATTTCTTTTGATTGTGAGGGATTCATGAGCAAATATACAGGTGGGCAGGGGAAATTGGTGTTATTGTAACTGCATTTTGTTGTTGTTGTTGTTGTTTATTTTTCATGAACAAGTTTGCTCCACTTCTTGATCCGTAGAGCTCTGGGGAGGGCTGGACCAATCTTTAGGAGGATGCCAGAGCACTTCTCACAAGAAAGCACTGGAAAGCCAACCCCCGCTCCCCATGGTGTAAACTTAGAGAAACAGGGGGTGCTGGAGTAGCTCTGAGTGAGGTCCAATGGCAGGAGAAGGCCCCCAGGCTCCAAAGAGAACTCATCTGAAGGGCGACATCAGGGGTGCGGACAAAGACATGCGGGACTTCGATCAGCTTTTCAGTCAAGGCTCCCCGTCTAGGTAAGGAAAAACACCACGGAGAAGGAGGCACCAGTCCTCAGCTTGCAGCCTCCCTGCCCAGCACAGTGTGGGCCTGCCCGTGTTTCGCCCAGACCTGACCCTGCAGGAGCCGGGCCCCTCCTCAGACCCAAGCCGCCGGGATGCGCACAACCAGCCGCGAACAGCGACACTGCCTGGCGGAGGCTGGGATGACGGCACCAGGTGGGGTGCCAGCGCCCTTTCTCTCTGTTCTGGAGTTTGCAGGCAGGATGGGCTCCGCTGTGGACAAAGTCCTCAGGGTTCCTGAGTCGGCTCTGGAGAGTGGAGGCCCCTGGATGGTTACTGAGCTTCCTGCCGATGAAGGCTTGTGATAAGCGGTTAGTTGGAAAAATAAGAGATGCCCTTGTTTTTATCCCAAGTCGGTGAAGCCCTTGTGCGTTTAGGGAACTTCAGTTTTACCCTTTGTCACCAGGGACCACAGCTATCCACATTGACAAGTAACACACACGGGAGACTTCTTTTCGATAGCAGACTATCTTTGAAATTAGTAACAATTGCACACACACGGGACATGCCAGAGTTGACAAAGTTCTTAGGCATTCAGGCTCTTCTCTGAGCCTCAAGCCAACCCTGTGAGGTAAGGAGGGCACACGGATCCTCCCTAGGAAAGTGAGACTCAGAGAGGGACAATGACTTGCCCATGGCCACCAACGAGTCGACAACACCCGGCCCTGCCCCTGTTGTGGGGACCCCAAGCTGCCTCCCAGGGAAGCCCGCACCCAGGTCCCTGCCCCCCTCACAGCAGCATCAGGACCACGATGGCAACGACCATGAGGACTCCGGCCAGGATGCAAAGGCCCAGGAAGACAATGTCACTGGTGTCCTGAGGCACCATGGCCACAGGGCCCTCCAGGGCCTCCACCTCATCCCTGGGTGGTGCTTCCTGAAGATGCTCAGCTGTGGCGGCATAGGGCCCAAGCCAGTCGGAGCCAGACAGCAGGTGGACAGAAGCCTCCTTGCGCCGTGGCTCACAGCGGACCTCATACTCATGGACGTCCTCCTGCCCGCCAGCCGAGAAGTCGATGTACAGCACGCTGACGATCACTGAGGTGTTGTTCCTCCGCTGTGGGGGTCACGGGGCACTCACTCACACCTGAAGGGGTCGGGGCTGACCCTGTGCCCCTAGGTATGTAGGGACTCTGTGCCAAGGGGGCAGAACGCCAGGAGCCTGGGTTCTAGTGCCAGCTTGACCACCGACTCCCTTCCCACTTGGAACCTCAGGGTCTCCACCTGTAAAAGGGACACTACGGGGATGTCTGATGGGTCCGTGTTTGCTCTGGCTTCAAGGAGGCGGGGTCTATGAAGGACAATAACAGCAAGAGCAGGCCCATCTGCCATGTTCCAGGCTCTGTTTTAAGTGCGTTGTCTCATTTCGTTCTCACTACAATCCTCTTTTATTGGTACCATTAATATCCCCATTTCACAGATGAGGAAACTGAGGCCCAAAAGTTAAATCCCTTGTCTGAAGTCACACGACACACAAGTGACAGAGCGGGCAGACAGGAATGGTAGGAAGCTGCCGTCCCTGGACACTGGGCCACCCCTCTGGGGAAGGGTGTGAAAGGGAGTTTCAAAGGGGCTTCCAAAAGGCTCTGATTCCATGTCCCCAAAGGAGGCTTCTGCATTTGTGCCCTCAACCCGTCTGCCCCCAAACCCTCTGAGGAGGACCGGCGTCCTGGATTTTTGTGATACAGAATTGAGACCCTGGGCAAAGAAAGATGGGGCCTGTGAGTAGAAGGGGACCCAGTAAAGTCCGTCCACATGATAAAGAAGGGAGGAAAAAAATCACAGGAAGTGGAAGTTTTTAGGGGTTGTTGATGAGTGAGAGACTTGAAGGGGAAAAGCCAGCCACATAAGATGTGCTGTTATGGTTATGAAATCAAGTCTCCATTGTTTTTTAAGAGATGCACAGAAAGGTGGCCATTGCCTTGGGCTGTTCGAGCTGTGCATCTTTGAGAGCAGTTCAGTGCAGAGACTGGTCCTCGAGCATCTAGGACGTGTATAACGGTGACACTAGGAATCTAGGAGTCTAAGTTTCTCAGCTTTTATGTTTCCATGGTATTAGCCTCTGAGTGTCCGTGATACCTCGTTCTCCGTTTCCTGGTTCCCTGCCTCTGGGATTCTCTGTCCGTCATTTCATGACTCTGTGGAGTGTCCACAGAAAATCCCTGAGGGACTTAGGGCATGGAGTCAGGGTGAGGGCAGATCATCTTGGCAGCCAAGACTGCCCCCACTTCTCTCCTCAAGTCAAAAGGACAGAGGTTGCCAGAGGCTGGGGAAGAGGAGGGGTGGGCTGGAGGGGCCCCAGGTGGACATTTGGCTAATGTGGGGGGCAGGGTGGTATGGCTTGCTGGAAAGTGGTGATTTCTGCCAAGCCAGTCTGACACATCCCTGGACGCCAAGCCTTGGGGGTGGGGGTGAGCTCTCCCTGGAAGGGGGGGATCTCTCCTTTCCCCTTTAACCTGCCCCTAAGAATGCAGACATCTGAGGTGCTTGGGCCACTGCCCAGCGACTCCGAGGGCCCCAAACCTGAATTCATTTGTAAGCCTCACTGCCTTTGGGGGGAAGTGGATCCTGTTACTTGAAAGGCCCTTTTGTTCTGTGGAGCACAGGGACCATTTGGATCACAGGTTGGGGAAGGGGTGGCTGGAGGCAGCCGGGTGTGAAAGGGGTGAGGCCTGGGGGGGTGGGGAGTTCCCGGGAGAAGGGAAGGAAGAGCAGGAAGGCCTCCAAGGATGGTCAGGGTCAGGGCCTTGCAGGAGGAGCCTTCCATAGGGTTGTCGCTGGGTTACTCAGTGGGGGCCCCTTCTCTGTCTCCCGTTTGAGATCTTCGTCACGTCTACACTGAGCAAGTTTGTTGAGTTCTGCAACCAGGCTTGTGGGGTCACTGAGCCAGGAGGAGAAGCTGAATTCTCAGGAATGGCAGGCGCCTTTCAGCAGGGGTCAGACGCCCTCCCTCACACCTGCGCCCCCCTCCCCCCCGCCCAGCCCCTACCTGAGACTCGGTGCCGCAGGTGTCAAAGCGGGCCTGGATCCGGAAGGTGCCACCGGCTTCCTGCGCGGCGCAGCTGCGGCTGCCCAGGTAGACCTTGGTCCGCTCCAGCGGTGCCAGAGTCTGTGCAGCAATCAGGATCTGGAAGTCCGTGCGGGAGCAGCTCACGTTCATGGGCACGACTGGGGACGGAGGGAGGGAGCGGCTGGAGGCCTTAGGGGCAGGAAGTCTGCCCCCACCACCCCGACACCCCACGCAAAGGGTGATGTGTGCAGCCTAACGGGGATGTTTCACGTGTGTTACTCCGTTTAACTCCATCAGACTATGAGTTCCCGAGGGCAGGTACCCGGCCTTCTCATGTCCTTGCAGCCTGGCTCAGAGCTTGGCAGGTGCTGTGAATTCTGGATTCTGAATGAATGAATGAGTGAGTCAGTGAATGAATGAATGAATGAATGAGTCAGTGAATGTATGAATGAATGAACGAATATTCTTAATCATAAGAAGAGGTACTACCTGCTGATCTCTTTACCATGTGCCAGGTAGTTCGTTCAACCATTTAACAAATATTTCTTGTTGGCCTACTATGTGCAGGACACTATTCTGGCACCACAGAAAAAGAAATGGAAAAAAAAACCAACCCAACACCCCAAACTTCCTGCCTTCTTGGACCTTACATTCTAGTTGGGCAAGGGGGCAATAGATAGGTAAAATGAAAGATGTGTTGGAGTGGGCTGAAGGAAAATCAAGCGGAGAAGCAAGACAGGGAAAGGCAGAGTATGTGTGTCGGGGTGGGGGGCAGAACTGCGGAGAAGAAAGCCTCACTCGCTCCCCACGGTGACCCCATGAGGTGGACACAACTAAACCCATTCTACAGTTTTGGAAACTGAAGCTCTGAGAGGTAAAGTTGTTTGCAGTGGTTGAGTTGGGATTTCAGCCATTATTGAGTCTGTAGGTGGTCCCCCCCACCCTATTTGGTGGGCCCCCACAGCCCTCCAGGCCGAGATGGTGTGACTCTCTGTGTCTGGGTATAGCAGAGCCTGTGTGCGTGTGCAGGGCAGTGCTGGCTGGCGTGGGGGCAATGGAGGGGGAGGAGAGGGCGGCTGGTGGGTGGGAAAGAGAAGAGATGGCAGGCAGAGGCCTGGAACTCTCAGCCCCTCTCCGGGAAATGCCTCAGACATATTTCAGCCTCTGGTGTCTGGGCAGTCGGGGATTTATGGGCCCGCCATCTCCCACGATGATCTCGGTGGCACTGAACTGTGTGTCACCCCTGATTGATGCTGAGGTTGTCCTCTAGCCGGGAGGCCGCCTGCAGCCTGGGCCACATCTGGAGCCTCGTCTAGCACGAGTGCCCCTGTCTGGCCCTGGGCTCCCACAGGGATCTGGGGAGGGGGGCGGGGTGGGTGGGAGCGGGGGCTCCTGCCCCTGGAACAGAGCTGGGTTTAGAGCGGCCCCACCCTCAGGCTCTGTAGGCACCAGAAGGAGAAGGGGCTTGTCCAAGATCCCACATTGCTGGGAGAGGACCCATGCCTAGAAATAAGACAATCAAACCAAAGGGGACCTTAAAGATCCTTCAGCCAGTGTCCTCATTTTACAGGTGGAATAACAGACCTGCAGAGAAAAAACCACCTGTAGCTAGCTGAGGCAGAGCCTGTGGCCCCTGGCTCTCCAGAGTGAAACCCTAGGAGGGGTCACTCTCACAAGGGACAGCTCTCCTCCCCCAGGTTATGGAGGAAGCCAACTGAGGCCCTGGAGGGTGGGTCTGCCCAGGCCACTTCACTGCCACTAGCTCGCTGTGGTGCAACCGTGTCCTTCCCCATCACCACTTGCGTAGGGGGTAAGGATGGAGGGAAGATGCTTGATTGCAGACCAGGCCCGAGACATGTGAGGGACAGACATCCACCCTCAGCAAGGATGTCCCCTGTTCTCTCTTTTCATCTGAATGGCCGCCTGCAGAGGACATTCATCAACCCCTTGCATGGATGAAGCCACTGGATGGTCGGTAAATGGGAGCATTTGGATGTGGCCCTGGTCTGTCGGAACTCAGCCCTGGCTCCCTCCGCCGGAACCGTACTGGGCCACAAAGAAGGCAGGCAGGGGTCCTAGTCTTGGCCGTGCCCCCGTTGCCCACGTGACCACAGTGAAGCGTTTCTGCTCTCTGCCCCTCCCTTTCCACACCTGCACAACAAGAAGTTTCACCTGCTCAGGTAGAGGGAAAATGGGTCCAGAGCCAGGCTTTTCTGGGCCCACGGGCCAGGGAAGGGTGACAGGAAGAGGGGAGAGATGGTGGAGGCTGCTGGCTGGCAAATCTAACGGGCACTATGGAAGCTGGAAAAGCCCAGTGCCAGCATTCTCAGCCGCCTCTGCCACTGGGCATGGCCACCTGACCAAGTTCAAACTCTTGAGACCAAGAAGTCTTTCAAGAGCTTCTGAAAATGCTTTTGTTTTCCTGGTAACGGGACATTTGTAGCTGGCATCTCCCCTACCCTCTTCCAGCCTCGAATGTGGACATGATGTCCGAAGTTGCAGCAGCCATTTTGCAGTCATGAGGCCAAGAGAATCCCAGAGATACCAGCTGAGACAGTGTTAAGTCCCTGAACCAACAAAGCAGCTCCCTAGCTCCAGACTTCTTGTTATGTGAGGAAAACAAAAGCCACTTGTTCAAGCCACTGTCAGTCAGGATTTATGACCGATATAAGCAAAGCTTGTCGACATCTCCATGGTTATACCAATTGTTTATCACAAGTAACATGGCCATATTTTGCGTACTATCCCTGGATACACAGGATAAACCACAGCAGGAGAGAGGCCAGGGGCCCAAGGGGGAAGGAGAGAGATGGGGGGAATTAGGGCACGTGGAGTTGGAAGCTGGGAAGGCAGGACTCTGCGGGGTGGAAATAAGCAAGGGCCACATTGGTGCGGTCCCTGGGGTCCCAGGGCAGCAGTTAGCAGTGTTGTAGCCACCCGAGAAAAGGTTGGAGGAGACCCGCGGTGGGATGGAGGGAGGAAGCTGCAAAGGACCCCAGCCTTGCCCACACCCCCCACCATCAGCACGCCCACACCCTCCACCCCAGCTGACCTCCAATGTAGGCCACGGAGAAGCCCCTCCGGGTGGTGCTGCGGTCCGTGTGCAGTAGGAGCAGAAGCTGGTTGTGGCTCGAGGTGACCGGTGCTGGCAGGTGGTGGCCGCACCAATTCCCCAGCAGGGAGGCCTCCTCGCTGGCCCCATCAAAGGCTGCCAGATGGTCGAAGTCACAGGTCCTGGTCAGGCTGTTGGGACCCTCTAGGTCCAGGTCCAGGAAGAACACCTTGACCCGGTAGCCTGGAGGCAGGCGGATGGTCCAGTGGCAGTGAATGTTGTTAGGGTAGGCGCTGGGGTACTGGGGACTGGAGAAGTTGCCCCGCACGGCCGTGTATACCTCCTGGCATTCTCCTGGGTTGGGGAGAGTGGGACAGAAGGGACAACAATGAGAAGGGTGGAGACTGTCACCCTCTGCAGTACAGCTTGGGCAGTGGGCACCATAAAGGTCCTAAAACCACCCTGGACCACCACCTGGTGGGCACCGTGGTGGGCAAACCAGACAATGGATCCCAAAGCCTGCTTTAAACGGGAACTAGCTGAAGGCTAGGACTCTCATTCCAATTGGCAGTCCACTTCACGAGTGTTGGTCTGGTTAGGACTTCAATAAACAGACCTAATACTTGTCCTCAGAGTTGAGTCCAAACTTGGACCTGACAGACAAGATGGCTCATGACATGACCTTGCTTGTTTTGTCACTGCCCCTCATCCAGCCCTACCTTCCAGCCTCCCCAAACACCTCCCAGCATACGAGCACACTAAGCCCTCTCTGTCCTCCCTGCCTTCGCGCATGCTGATCTCTCTGCCTGGAATACCCTTCCCTTCCTTCTGCCTCTGGCTAACTCCTTCAAAGCACTACTCAATTCTCTCCTCCTCCAGGAAGTCATCCATGATTCTTATTGTTAACAAAGATCACAGTGGGTTGTCATTGTCTATTTCCTTCTCCATTTCCTCCACTCTCTAGTTCATTTTACTATCAAGGGTTCATTCATTCATTTGTACACACATTGATTGAATCCCTTCTATGTGGCCGGTACAGAGACAAACCCATAGGAACTCACAATCAGGGGAAATCAACGTGCCGACCGCATCCATAATGATAAGTGTTAGATCATTGCTGCAAAAAAAACCTCCAGAAGGAGTTGAAAGAAAGGACGAATTCTGAGTCAATCAGGAAGACTTCACAGAGGAGGTGACATGCTGATGCCTTGGCACTGGCCAGGCAGGGACACGCACAGCATGCACAGGGGACTCGAGGTATAGCCCCAGCCCCTTCTACCTGAGAAGTAGTAGGCCTTGAAGCCCCGGCCTCCAATGTTAAAGTCAGACTTGAAGACCACCTGCAGCTCGTGGCCCAGGGACACAAGAGTGGGGGGCCGGGTGCCGCCACAGTAGCGATGCCCGTGGGTGGGGCCAGGCCCCCCAAGCACGGCCACGTAGTCATAGGTGCACTCCTCACTGCCCTCCACCTGGAAGTCCACGAACACCAGCTTGACGGTGGCGGGGCCGGAGGCGTGGATCACCCAGTGGCACTCCACGTTGTTGGGGTAGTTGTCCGGGTAGTCAGGGCTGGTAAGGACCCCTGAAAGGCCCGTTAGGACACCACCACACACATCTGCAAGGAAGCCCTCCTGAGCTGACTTTTCTTCCTCCCCGTGGCCCCCCACCCCCTCCCTTGGGAACAGGACGCCCCTCAACGTGCCACCCCCCCGGGTATCTATCTCATGGCAACCTCGCCACCATCCACCAAGCGCTTGCTGCGTGGCAGGCACAGACCTGGCACGTGGCCCCGACACCATCACCATCGCCCTAGGGGAATGCATGGTGGTTCTCCCCATTCTATGGTCGCGAAAATGGAGGCACGGAGAAGGTAAGTGACTTACCTGGGGGAGTCTAGGTTCACCCAGATAGACCCTGAGACAAGGGTGTGAGCACAAGGAGTTTATTTGGGAGCTATAAGGGCCAAGAGAGGGCATGTCAAGCCAGCTGCCCAGCCCTGTTGGGGAATCCTGGGGAATGGCGTCAGGCACACACCTCAGAGTTATGTCGCCCGAGAGAAAGGGAGCTGGGGCGTTCATACACCAACTCCCGAGAGTCCAGGCCGAGGGCTGTGGGGACAGAGGCGACCTGCTGAGACTCCGGAAGAAGGCTTCACACAGAGATATGGAGGTTGGCAGGAGCCACTGAAGTGATGAGTCCCCGGGAACCTGGGTGGGGCCCTGATGGCAGGCCACCCAGCTGGTAATGGGGAGAGCAGGCATTGCCTCGTTGCAGAGCCTGGGCACTTGACCTTGTGATTCTCACTGTCCCTTCCTACCAGGCCTGTGGCGCACAGAGGCTGAGGTGCCCAAGTTCAGCAATGTTCCCAAAGCGCCCTGACAGAGGAAACTGAGGCTTGGAGAGAGGGTCTGGTGAAGTGGAGATGGGCTTGAAGTCTGAAGACAGGTGTCGGTCCTCAGCTCTGTCTTCTATGAGGGGTGGGACCCTGGGCAAGTGACCCAGCCTCCATGAGCCTCATGGGAATACGAGAGGTCAGAAGACCTGCCCAGCCTGATCCACCAGGTGCAGGCTCATGCAGAATCTCCAGTGCTGATGAAACCCTTTTGGAACCCAGCCCTGCCAATCCAGCCAGGAGGTGGCTGATGATGAATGCCCTGCCCATGTGGAGGCACCAGCAGCGTGGGGCACGCTGCTGTTTCCCAAGACGCCAAGAACCTCGCCCCAGGGCTTGGCTTTGTGAACCTAGCTCTGCTCTGGGCTGGGCGCTAAGACTTCTTGTCCCAGTGTTCCTGCTTCCAGCCGTGTAACCTTGGGAAGGCACACTCCCTCTCTGCTCTTAACTTTGTTTGTGAAATGAGAGGGCAGGTTCTGACAGTCTGTGAGATCCTTTGCCACGTGAACACACTTAGCAGAAGCTTTGAATTGTGCTCTGGAGCGTTGCAGCAGCCCCCTGGGGCATCCATCGGCCTGCACATGGGGCAAATTTCACTCCTGTGCTGTATTCAAGCTCTCTTTAACGCGCTGAACAACAGCATCCACAGTCACAGGTCATATGTAAAAATTTCACTCATTGGAGGCCATCCATATTGACTTATGTTTTCAGTGATTGGTTTAGAATAAGTAAATGTTAAAAATATGAACTTCAAAAATACAGTAAATGCATACCAAGAAAGTACTGCCTTTATCTCTTTTATATATAAGGGATTAACCTAAGTTTCCATTTGCTATAATGGTACTCCTGTTTTTTTTTTTTTAAAGATTTTGTTTATTTATTTATGAGAGACAGAGAGAGAGAGACAGAGGCAGAGGGAGAAGCAGACTCCCCGCAGAGCAGGGAGCCCGATGTGGGACTCGATCCAGGGACTCCAGGATCATGACCTGAGCCGAAGGCAGTCGCTTAACCAACTGAGCCACCCAGGCGCCCCGGTACTCCTGTTTTTAAAAATGCTGGAAAAGGGGCACCTGGGTGGCTCAGTCGTTAAGCGTCTGCCTTCGGCTCAGGTCATGATCCCAGAGTCCTGGGATCGAGCCTCACAACGGGCTCCCCGTTCAGGGGGAAGCCTGCTTCTCCCTCTCCCACTCCCCCTGCTTGTGTTCTCTCTCTCAAATAAATAAATAAAATCTTAAAATAAAATAAAATGTGGGAAGACATTGCTTATGGAATTATGACTTTGATATCCTAACATTTTAAAAACCTAAGAGTCTAAAATTCCAAAACTGTGACGAGATCAGTCTGTGATTCTTGTGTTTTGGCATTCCGCAGTTCTGTGCCTCGAAAGCCAGCTCAGGGAGGGGCGTCCCACCCGAGCCCTCTGACTGTCGTATGGGGAAACCTGCGCCCCAAGAGCCTCTGTGGTTGTCTGTGGCTTGAGCGGACACAAGTAAGGTGTTGGGTTTGGGCCTTGGGAGAAGGGATGAGGTTTGAGTGTCTGCAGAGAGGCCTGGAGACAAGAGGAAAGCTGAGACGAGCAAAGCCTCTGCTCCCCTCACTAGACTAAGGGGCAGGTTTCCAGGCAGAGGGAGGGAGGGTTAGGGATCCACAACGTAAGAGGCATTAGGTAAGGCCTGGGGAAGGAGAGTGTCACCGGCTCCACACAGATGGCCCTCATGCATCTTTTACTCCAGAGGGCTTGGGGTGGGGTGCCAGGGGTCCCTGCGCCTGTAAGTGATGGGGTGCTGCAGAGGGACGGGCAGCAGGGGCAACCTGGTGTCCTCTCCTTCGTCCTGATGCCATGGTATGGGATAAGAAGGACCATAGCGAGCACAAGAGGCCTTGCTCCTGGGTACAGTGAGACCCTCCCAGGGCTCCCAGGACTGCTGCCCTGAAGATGGGAACCTACAACACCATGACCACTGCTGGAAGCTGTCCTTGTCCCTGAGCTGTGGCAGCAGGGCTACCCAGGCTCCGGAGCTGCCGGCAAGCCTCGCTTCAGCCCACAGCTCTCCTCCCCCCCAGCCCCCGCAGGGCCCCCCTCTCCCTGCCAGGCCCCCCTTGCCTTTCTGGTAGCCAGCAGAAAAGCCTTGGCTGGCCACGTGCTTGTCTGAGTGGAAGACGACAGACATGACATGCCAGGAGGAGATGAAGGGCGGCGGGGGCACCCGGCCGCAGAACCTCCCCAGCAGGCTGCCCTTGTCCCCCGAGGCCCCGTTGTACACCTCCAGGTAGTCGAAGCCGCAGGAGTCGTGGTACTCCAGGTCGAAGGCGTGGAAAGTGAGCAGCACCGAGGAGCCCTCGGCCACCACGATCAGCCAGCTGCACTCTATGTTGTAGGGGTAGAGTCTGGGGAAGTTGGGGCTGGAGAAGTTTCCGGAAGGTGCTGAGAGCACACCCCCACATTTGACACCTGGGGCAAGAGGGAAGAATGGCTCGGTCAGTGCTGGGGTCCTGGATGGTAGAGCCGGCCACAGACCTGGGTCTTTGGGATGGGGTGAGGGAGCATGAGGCCATGACCCTAAATCAATTCACTGATGCACATGTTTGCTCATTCATCTGCTTAATCCTCAAATACTTATCAAGCACTCTTTTATTCATTCAACAAATACCATCTGAGTGCTAGGCAATGTTCTAGGTGCTGGGGTTTCAGCAGAACAGACAAAAATTCTTGCCTTCGTGGAATCTCCTGGGTGGTTCTGATGGGGAATGCAGATGATAAACACGGTGAGTAAAATATAGAGCATACTGAAGAGTGATTAGTGTTATGGAGAAAAATAAAGCAGGGAGAGGAGACAGAAACGTTGGGGCAGATCTATAATTTTAGATAAAACAGTACTATATGCCAGATCCTAGGCGTGTACCGTAGGGAATTTAAAAATTACAAACGATAATACCCCCACCCTCAGTGAGGATGCGCACAGCCTATTGTACTCTCACAAGTACATTCTTATATGCGCATATTTGCTGATATTTAAAAAAAAGAAAACAATGGAAGGAAACTAATAAAAATGATTCTCTGTCAGGGGAAGGAGTAAACAGAGGGGAGGATGGGGCGCCTGGGTGGCTCAGTTGGTTAAGCGACTGCCTTCGGCTCAGGTCATGATCCTGGAGTCCCGGGATCGAGTCCCACATCGGGCTCCCTGCTCGGCGAGGAGCCTGCTTCTCCCTCTGACCCTCCCCCCTCTCATGTGCTCCCTCTCTCTCTCATTCTCTCTGTCTCAAATAATAAATAAATAAATAAATAAATAAATAAATAATCTTTAAAAAAAAAAACAGAGGGGAGGAAAACAGGCATGAAGCTAGACCTTTTTCAGTGAGACCTGTTTTATAATTTTGACTTTATAGTCATGAATGACTTTTTTTTAAAGATTTTATTTATTTATTTGACAGAAACACAGCGAGAGAGGGAACACAAGCAGGGAGAGTGGGAGAGGGAGAAGCAGGCTTCCCGCGGAGCAGGGAGCCTGATGCGGGGCTCAATCCCAGGACCCTGGGACCATGACCTGAGCCAAAGGCAGAGGCTTAACGACTGAGCCACCCAGGCGACACTCATGAATGACCTTTAATATAATTTTTAAATTAGCAAAAAACCATTTTAAGTAACCCCTAAAAATCCAAAACTGAAACAAATATCATATACATATATCAAGTTGGAGGCACATTCATCATGGGGGGAAATGATTTCAAATGACTTGGAAATACACTTTTTTGACTGTACATTCCTAGAGGGATATATCCCCGGGACAAAACGAAGCACAAAGAACTCTGAAACTTGACTCAGGAGACTTACTGTTTGTAATAACAGTCAGTACTGCTATTTTACAGTATTTTAAAAATTGGAATAAAGCACGTCTGCTAATGTCAATAGAAGCTAAGAGGTTCCGTGTAAGAAGAGAGCAATACAACCATAAAATTAAAAAATTAAATAGAATGCTTGTGATCCTCAATTTGAATTAAAGACAGTATGAATTTAAGACTTATTTTTGTTTCTAAAAAAAAAAAAAAATTAATTTCCTAGCTCTGTTCACTGAAAAGGCCAAAGAGCCTGTACCAGGCCTGGGCTGACTCAGCATGGGGTTCTCCCGGGGAGCGCACTGTGGAAAGGGAGGGCTGTCAGCAATGCCATAGGGGGCCCGACGGAGGAGGGCTAATCTTGCTGGGACAGCACTGTTGAGGGCTGGGGGGACAAGATTCACAGGGAAGGTGGTGTTTGAGTTTGCCCAGGAGGGACAAGAAGGTTGTTAGTTGGGGACAATTTGGAGGGAGGAAATGGCACGGACTCACAGTCACCTCGCCTCCCTGAGCCTCAGTCACGCATCTGTGAAATGGGGTGTCTGTGAGCACCGATGAGACAGAGCTTCTCCTTCAAGGGCCTCAGATGTACACCCAGCTCAGGTCGTCGGCTCCCTGTTGGCCCCTGCATCAGGCCCGGCAGGAACCCTGTCTGATTCATGCCTTTATGGCAAAAGGACAGAGGGATATTCTGTCCGGTGCCTGTCCTTGTCCTTCCCCCAGCCCTGCCCATTGGATAGGAAAAGCCCTGGGAGTGTTGGAGCAGAATTCCTGTGGCCAAGGAGCTCCCAGGTGCCAACACAAGCGTAGGCCTTGTCCTCCGGGACTCAGCCAGACGCCCTGAACCCCAGGATCACCCTGGGGCCGCTATAGCTCCGGAGGCTGGAAAATGGGAACAGCTAGCTTCTCCCCCTACAGGAAGGAGTGAGACGCCTGGGGACCCAGCCCACCTCTGCCACCGAAGAGGTGACTGGCACAAACCCTTTCCTTCTTTGAGCCCCACTTGAGCCTGCAGGAAAACAAGGCACTGAGGGCTGCTTGCTGAGCACCCCCAACATGCACGCTCCTTGAAATTCAGGGAAGTGATACTGTTTCCCAGACAGGCACACAACACAATGGGGCTGGAGCAGCACAAGGAGACCTGGGGCCAGGGTGCTGGCACAGGGTTCTGGGAGGTCCCAGGAGGGAGCCTCTGAGGCTGATGGAAGGATGTGGAAGGCTTCCTGGAGGAGGTGGTGTTTGACCCAAGTTTGATAGATGAGCCACATGTTATCAGAAGGCAAAACAGAACAGGGACCTTCCAGACAGAGGGTGAAGCATTTCCAGAAGGGGGTATGATCCTCTGCCAGAGCTTGGGGTGCCCAAGGGACACAGGGGACCGAGGCTGGATATTATATAGAGAACTGGGGCCAAACCTGGGGGACACCGAATGCCATCAGGAAGAACTTTGATTTCACCTGGCTGGTGGTGGGGAAGTACAGCAGGCTCTCAGGAGGAGGATAAAGTCTTCCTCCAGCAATAAACCTTCTATTGCCTCTGAGCCATTCCCTTAGCCCTTGGTAGCTATGTCTCCTTGGACAGGTTACTTAACCTCTCTCTGCCTCAGTTCCTTCATCTGTAAAATGGAGGACTCATACCCACCTTGAGGTTTGTCCTGAAGATTAAATGCAATCATATTCGTAAAGCATCCAGCGCAGAGCAGGTGCTCTGCAAATACTGCCTTTCACCATCTCAGAAGCAAATACACCCTCAACTCAGCCAACTCCCCCCAAAAAAGGCCTTCTGCTTTCTGGCCTCCCACATGGAAACCTCCTGAGACCCTGGCAGCCACCTGCACCCCCCCCCCCCCCCCATTGCAGAGCCTGCCTGTGTCCTCTGGAGCTCCTACCTTTCATGGCGTGGGCCCTGGGGCCTGGGCCCAGCAGCACCAGCACCAGCACCAGACAGGACCCCAGCTCTGCCAGCATCCCCTCACTGGGGGCCCCCACGGGTCTGCAGAACTCGGGGCAGGCCAGGATCTGAGGGTCTGGAGCAGGGGAAAGGGAGATGAGTCTGAGAGGGCCTCCAAGTTAATGGTGGCCTGAATAATTCATCGGCCCCTCGAATTAGTAAGCTGATCCCCAGGTGCTTCCTTCATTCCACCCTGAGGTGATGGATCTAGTGTCACCGGCTTGACACATTCTGAGATCTGCACTGGCCGCCCTGGATCGGGAAGGGAAGCACCTCAGGGCGGGAAGGGAATTTGGTGGTAGAGAAAGGGCATGAGTTTTGGGGCTAGGCAGATCTGGCAACCACCCTAAGTCAGCCTCTAGCCCACCGGGTAGCCTTGAACAAGTCATCTAGCTCCTCTGGGTCTCAGTCTTACTCATCTGTCCAGTGGGGCCATTCAGCCCTGCCTGTAGGAAATGGCAGGCTATGACCTATGCTGCAGCCCAATGGCTGTCCCTTCCCCACCCACGGGGGAGCTGAAGGGACCTTCTAATTAGTGGGACAAGTGGGAAAGGCATCCTTCAGACATGCTTAGATTAACTCAGAGGGAGGGCAAAGGAGGCTGGAGTGGGCAGCTGATGAGGGAAAATTCTATTTTCATGGAAGAAAGCAGCCGGAATAACAGAATGGGAAAATTGTATTGTGCATCTCCTAGAGCGACCACGGATCTGGGCCACAGTGTAAATTCTGGCCAGGAATATTAGATATTCCCTCCTCAACTGATCCACAAACGCTGCCTGAGCATTACTCTGTGCCAGGCTGGGTGCTAGGAGCGAGGCTGCAGGAACGCTCTCAAGGGCTCTGTGTCCAACAGGAAACAGGCTCTACGTCCTCTGGGAGCCGTACTTGGTTCTGTTCAGCCCAGCGCTCATTCCCCAGCAACTTCTCTGTGCAGAGCCTGCACAGGGCATCTGAGGGAAACATGGCACGCTCCTGCCTCCCAGTGAGGAGCCTGGGCTCTGGTTGGGCCCACAAGGTCTGATTCCCAGCTCTGCCATTCCTGCTGGGCTGGGGCAGCCTGGGAAAGTGGCCCAACCTCTCTGAGGCCCGGTCTCCTGAGCACGAAGAGGAGAAAGCTAGTAGCTTGTCGTCTGCTGCAAGGATTAGATGAGCTGGCGCCTGGCTCCCTGCTTGGGAGCAAGCATGATTTTTATTTACCTCAGAGGGACTCAGAGGGCCATCTGCCAGACCACATGCTGCTTCTGGCCCATCCTTGTGTCAGGAGGTCCCCAGGGAACCCTTTGCCGCCAGCATGGGAGGCCACCTGGAAGGTGTTCAGCAAAGAGCATCGGGGATGGTCGGGCCTGAGGGATTGGCTTACCTTTGGGGCTTGATTGGCAGCAACAGAAAGGTTCTGCTGTCCTGGGCCATCTGAGGGGACAGGAGATTTAATCGCCCCCATCGTGTGCATGAGAGAGGGTGCTGACCTAGTGCCTGCTGAGTGCTGGGGCCTGGTGCCAGGAGCCTCATGCCCGTGTGCACATGCCCTTCCAATGTTACAGGTGCACGGTAGACTCCCTGCCTCACAGAGGAGGAAATCAACACCTAAAGGGTCTGAGCCCACTGTCCTGGGTCGAGCAGCTCCACAGGAAGACCCTGCAACAAGGATTCAAGGGCCAGTAGCTTATTTGGGAGGTGATCCCAGGAGGCACAGGCAGGGGCATGGGGAAGTGAGTCAGGGATGAGAAGAAGCCAGTTGAGGGCATGGTGATGAGTCACTGCCACTGTGGACAACTGATGCTCCACCCCCATGAGCACCTCTGGGAGATGGTGTAGACTACGGCCCCACGTTGTTCCACTGAGGGGTGAGGAATGGCCCAAAAGTGCAGGGGTTGCAGGCAGAAGCTGTCTGCATGCCCAGGAATGGTGAAAACCAGGGATGTGGGCGGGGCCATGGTGGCACCAGCAGAGTCCTGCAGGACAGAAGACTGTGGCCCTTAGTGCGGCTTCACCCTTGACCTGCTATCCCTGGAATTACTCACCTCTGAAATGTTCATTCCACCCCTGAAACAGCCATCTCTTCCCATGCTCCCTGCAACCTCTGGTCTCTTTCCCTGCCCTCTCCCCACACCTGGCATACCCTTTGCCCTATCTTCTCTCTTGGGCTTAGATTCCAGGGTCAGGGCCATCCTGCTCTTTCAAGACATCTGCTGGATCAGCCCAGCTGGCCGCACCCTCCCTTGCAGGTCTGGGCCTCTGAGCACTGCTGGGCAGCACGCCGTCACCATGCGGTGGCACTAGCACCATTTCAGCATCTCCAGCCCTTCCTGGGTCTCAGTTCCACCCCCCAGCCTTTCTGTGTTTCCCTAGGTGGCTCTCTCTCTGACCCTCCATGGACATCATCCCAGACGGTCACCAGTCTCCCCCTATAATAACCCCAGCCCCTCCTGCAGAGCCAAAAAGACGTAAAGCAGAAACCCCTACACCTCACAGCCCTCCCCCTGTCTCCAAGTGCTCACGCGTCCCTTCCCTCCAGCCTCAGGGAACGGTGGTTCCACATCCTCTCCGAGGCCAATTCCCCTCTTGTGCCTGGAGCCTGCCCCTCTCACTGCCGTAGGGACCTAACCCTGCATTAGCTCCCCATTCTCCAGGTCCCCAGCCTCGCCTGCCTGGCTGCCCTTCTCCCATCCCCATTTAGGCATCATGGGGGTGGCTGGGATACAAACACTTTCCATGAGCCTGTGTTTCCCTCCAGCTCGCACCCTACCCATCTGCTGGCTCTCAGAGCCCGGCTTCTTGAAGGCTGTGTCTTCCCTTTCTCTCCTCCTCTCCTCCTCTCCCTCCTCTAGGGTCTACAGGGCTGTGGGCATATTACTGCCACAAAAAAACCCGAGGATTTGGTCAACAAAGCGCAAGGCATGGATGGCTGTTGGGCAGGCAACCGGCGGTAACCACCAGAGTGCCCCTCGGGCCCCTCAAAACCCACAGCGAACTCATCGCCACTCCCCACCCCCAAAATTGCTTCTCCTCTGGGGTTTCCGATTCTAGGTGGTGGCATGACCAGCCCACCGAGCCAGAAATGTAGCAGCTGCCTCGGCCTCCCTTCCCTTCGGTTCTGCACTTGAGCTTGGCGAGCACTTCAGGCTCTGAAACAACTTCTGAAACCACCGCTCCCCACACTCACCACCTGGCTCCTGTCTGCCCACCTCCCTGGCTGGCGCCCAAACTGCTCTCTGCCCTCATCTCTCCAAAACACGGATCTAACCGCATCACCCCTCTGCTCAGGATAAAACCCCAAGTCCTCTGCTTGGCATTCCTGCTTCTTCAGGACACCCCAGACTTCCTTCCTTTCTTCCCCACATCCCAGCCACCGGCATCTCCCTCACTCCTCACGTGCTGTGTCCTGAGACTCAACTGCCCCTCTCTGTCCCATCATCCCTTGACAGACTCTTACTCATCCTTCAGAAGGTTACCACCTCCTCCAGGGAGTTGTCCTGCCCCTACCTCAAGCTGGGAGAGTGCCCGCTCCCTGGGAGCACCTGTAGCACAGAGAGGACCACCTGGCTTTTCTGCAAACACCTTGTCTTCTAGGGCTTTTGCTCCAGTGCCCCACATAGGGCTTAGCCCAGAGCACACCATCTCATTGTCTCCGTCCCCGCTGCACACCGTCCCCTAGCACATACTAAGTGCTCAGCAGCCATTGGTGGATTGAACTGCTCGGGAACACACTAGGAAGTGTCCCTGTCAATTTGAGTCCATGCTCATCTGTGTCCAAAGCGTGTGCTTTTACCCCCGCCCAGGGGAATGGCAGGGCGTCTGGTGTTGTGATTTTGCCCAGAGCTCCTAGAACCAAGACCTTGTGGGTTCAGACTGCAGCTCTGGCAGCTACTAGCTTTGTGACCTTGGACAAGTCACTTTGCCTCTCCGGCCCTTGTTTCCCGAACTGTGGCCACCTGTCAGGCGTTGTGAGGACCAGACGGGCGAAGGCACGTGGAGTGTGGAGAGGGCCAGCACTAAACTCGGGTACGTGCTCTCTCTCTCCTCCCGCCTTCCGTTTGTGCGGACTCCCAAGGCTCCACAGACCTCAGGTCAGCTTGCACTGTTCTTTTCATCTCTCCTGGATGTCTCCTCTGCGTGGGGCCTCCCCTGCCGGGCTGCCGCTCCCTGCCATCAGCTGCCTGGCCTCGGCTTCTCTCCCCGTCCCCGGGGGAGGTGGTGGAGAAGGAAGAAAGGCTGCCCTTAGCCTGTGCACCAGGGTCCTTAGTGAGTGCTCAAGCCGCCCACAGGACAGTCAACCCCAGGGGCCCGGCGGCCTTCCAGTGCCAGGCTGTGCAGACTCCCACAGCCAAGCCCTGAGGACACACTCTCAAACTTCCAGGGGGTGTCTTGGCATAGGGATGACTCTCCTCCCCATAACTGGCTCTGCCACGCCGCAGACACCTAGCAGACACAAGGGAGGCCCCTGAGGAGTGTTGTGAACATGTCTGGGGTGGGGGTACCTGTCTCCGTCACTGCGGATTTGTCCGTCTCGGGGTGAACCTGTGCCATCAGCTGGTCGTGCTGTTTCCTCGGGCACATGAGCCCTTCTTGGCGTCTATGCATCAGGCACCAAGTACACTCATCTCTCTGTGGGTGACTGTCCGTTTCTGCGTGTGCATATCCCTTTGCAACTGCACCCAACCCCGTGCATTCAGAGCTGTTTCTTTGCACACGTGCCCATCTCTGTGCATGCACACGGATCACACCTACGGCTGCCTCTGCGTAGACACTTGTCTCGATGTCTGTGGATATGCAGCTACACCTGCACCCTCCCTGGGTGTCCATCTGGGTCTAAGTGCAAATGTCATAGCTGTGTGCACGCATGACCGTGTCAGGGGATCTGCGCCTCTCCACACGTACACGTTTATCGTTTTAAGAAGCTCATGTCTATTTCCACGGGTACACAGCTTATAGGTCTGTGTCTCAGTTGTCACCTCCGGCCGGCACGTCTACCTCTGAGGTTCCTCTCCAAGCCAATTTTGTTTTCCCGTCTGCATTCTGTTACTCCACCTGGGTCGGGGTAAGTTACCCATGGGATAACAAGGTGCTGCCTCAGGCCTCCTCCCACAGAGGTCTGAGCTGACAGAAGGGTGTATGGCAGAGAGCAGGGAGCAGGGAGGCTGTGCCACCCCGGGGGATTCCTGGCTGGGCCGCAGGGAGTCACACCTCTCCATTAACCAGGGCCCTGGGGACTTAGGGGAGCTTCCCACGAGGACGGGCCCGGTGGCAGAGGCCAGGAGGGAGGGACACCTGGGGAGCACCCACACCCTCTCCTCCCGATGTCTGCAGGGGCTGGCCCTGCAGGGTGGGAGATGGGCATGTCACATAGCAGACTTTCTCTGCCGGGGCCTGCTAGAAAGCCACGGGGTGGCACAGGGTGAGTGGGTGAGGATGTGAGGGAGGAGCAGA